ATCTTGATTGGCCTAGACAATCTTGAAGTCTATCAAGTTGTCTCCGCCTAACAGATAGTTTGTTTCCAGAATCTGGATGTGAAACAGGTATTGGCAGTGTTGACTGTTAGGTGGAGACAACCTGATAGACTGCAGAGTTGTCTAGGTAAACCAAAATTCATCTCAGTAGATGGAGATTGTCTAAGAAGGCTCAGATTACACTCGTTTTATTTATGACTACCAAGTGCAAAGTAAAGTAGGTAAAGTAGAATGGAATAGTAAAAATAATATTATATTGTTAAGGTCTCTTCCGTGTTGCTTGATATTATCTAAAAGCTTGTGAGGGGCTTCGATATTTATATTCCGTATCTGAGTGTTCGTAGACTACATATATCTATTATACAACTATGTACCTCTCTGATTATAACTCATAATATTGGATATTCTTGAAGGTTTGAGCACCCATAGACCCTGAAAATCACTACACCCTCTTCGGTTATTGCAATATAGCTAACTGGGATTTATGCTGTTCCCAATAGTAATTATCTGATTGTCAGAGTCTTTAGACTTATGGTCTAGTTCACAAGTCAAACTGAGTTAGCCCCAATTGTCTCTGTCATTGATGAAATGATCAGTTTCATCTACAGGTTGTATCTGTGAAGCTAGTTGTAATCAGAACCTTTCTAGGTTGCCTGACTTCAAACCTTTATAACTCCTTACTTAACTAACAGATATCTTCTGGAAGACTTTCTACTAATTCACAGGAAGCTATTCCACCAGATTGATAAGTAATCCCGCGGTTGGCAACTCTTGGTTGCATTGGGTAACAAGGGTTTCAATTGCCATTCTAGTTTTAAGAATTATTCCTGCAGCTATAACGGGTTCTGAAACCTAGTTATAATACTCCATGAAGTCTATTGGCCTTCGTGGTAGTATTCGTCAGAGTTCTAGACTCTTCTAGTTATTATAGGATGGGCTCGAATGTATTGGTTTCTTGTTGAGATGCTTTATTATTCGATACCATCTTTTCATATCAGAAGGTTCCTTTACCACAGCCTATACCAAAGATCTCACATCTTTGAAGCCTAGTAACCTCTTAGGTAGTTGGCTGTTAGCAATACCTAGATCTGATATCTAGGAGTTAATCTAAGTAGGGTAACCTCACCTGGAATCAAAATCTCTGGTTTTCAACACCCCCTTCTGGTCTCCTTACGGGGCCCGCATATCATCATATATATCAATCTCCATTGCGTCCTGTAACTATAATACCACAGACTTGAAGGTGTCAGAAAGTCACTGGATACGTCGCTGCCAACTGCCTGACCAGATCCTGGTAATAGGATATATGTCAGGGGACCTTCAGCTAGGTCTAAAAGGTGGAACAGAGTAAATCCATCAACTATCTAGAAGGTTACTAGGCTTCAAAGATGTGATATCATTGGCATAAACTGTAAGTAATAGGACGTGTTCACATAAAGAAATGTTATCGAATGGTGAAGGATCTCAGTAAGAGACCGATATATTCATATCTACTCTTCAATATCAAGAAGAGTTTAGAACTCTGAGGAACAATACTATGAAAGCCATTGGACTTCAAAGAGTGTTACAACTAGGTTTCGGAATACATTGTCGTTACGAGAACAATTTCCGATACTACAACAGTAATTGAAATCCTGTTACCTAGAGCAATCAAGAGTTGCCGACCGAGGAAAAATTGGTCAATCTGATAGAATAGCTTTCTACGAATCAGTACGAAGTACTTTGGAAGACATATATTGGTTGGGTAAGGAGTTATGAAGGTTTAAAGTCAGACGATCTGAAAAGATTGTGATTATAACTACCTTCGCAGATGCAACTTGTAGAAGAAACTGATCATTTCATCAATGACGGAGACAATTGGGGTCAGCTCAGTTCAACTTGAGAACTAGGTCATAAGTCTAAAGACTTTAATGAATGGATAACTACTATTGGAAACACTATAGTTCTAAGTTAGTTATATCGTAATTGCTAAAGAGGGTGTAGTGATTTTCAGGGTCTCCGGGTGTTCGCACCTTTCAAGAATACCCGATGTTGTGAGTTATAATCAGAGAGGTACATAATTGTATAATAAATAGATGTAGTCCGCAAATACTCAGATACAGAATATATATATCGAAGTGCCTTACAAGCTTTATACATTATCAAGCAATGTAGAAGCGACCTTAACAATATAATATTATTTTACAATTCTATCTTACTTTACTAAATTTACTTCACTCATAGTAGTCATAAATGCAACGAGTGAATTTGAGCCTTCCTAGACAATCTCCGTCTACAGAAACGAATCTTGGTTGGCTCAGACAATTCTGAAATTTATCAGATTGTCTTCACCTACCAGTACTACCTACTTGTAAAAGTATCCTGACACTTTAGCACCAATACAGACAGTATTAGCGCTAAGGTGTCTGGATACATTTGAAAACAGGGAGTATATTGTTAGATCTCCTTGTTACCAAGACTCTCTACCTATCTACCTACCTTTTCCTACCGCACAATACGGCCAGGACACCAAGTATCCTGCTGTATGTTCTACTTAAACTGAAACTTCCAAAAACATGGGCTTTCTAGCTCGCATACGAGAATAAGAAGCTCATAACAACAATACAGATCTGGCTGATAATAACAAACATGATTTTTGCCTTCAACTAAATGGTTCCTTATTTTGAAATATTGATACAGCTATCACCAATATAGCTTGAGCCTGATATGAGGTTCAAGAATGTCAATACTCTATACTTTCAGTCAAAGAATATATGCAAGAACTACTTACTCTATCAACAAATAAAAGATAAGTGATTGGGATAAAGAGATATTTTGTCATGTGGAGAAAACCAAGTTATAATTTGCTTATATACAAAATATTTAATAAAAACAAAAAAAACAAACTTATAGTATACAAGCTCTATTACAACTATCAGATAATATTTTATTTATTAAGAAGAATACTATAGTAAAAGTATATTGCTAAATACTATAAGGCCCTGTTTTGTGTGCAAGAAAAATATCATTTTTCTTTCTTAAATGGCATTTTTTCATCATATATTTATAAATAAATGGAGATGTATTTAGCACATAAATCAAAATAGAGTATTTTTATAATGAATTTTTATAGATTTATTTTAGAGTTGGGAGTATATTAGAGATAAGAGTTTAGGAAAAAAATTTATTTAGTATTTGTACCTAGATACATACTATGTAATACTATAATAATATTGTAATAAAATAAATATTGACTAAATTCTCTTAACTAAGGCCACTCTATTATCTCATCTATCCACATACTATTGCCTGTTGTTGGTATTGCTCCAGTAGTTTAAGGAATAAAGAAGGATGGTTTTGAACTTGAAATTGCTAAAAAGCAATGGAAGCTGTTAAAATTGTTAGATAATAAGATTAAAAAAAAAGGTTAAGGCAATAACCAAGAGGAATGATAATGAGAAGAACTTGTAACTAACAAGGAGAAAAGGGAGAGCATGCAATGTCCAAGAATATGTACCAATTAAGGCAATTCTAGAAGTGGAATTAAAGATAGAGTACTGAGAGGAGAATGGTGGGTGTAGTAGAAAGCTTAGTAGTAACTGGACTTGTAATAGAATAGAGGAAAACTACCATTTTATAACAACTAGAGGTAGGCTGTCAAGATCTGCCATGATTTGCTAATTTTGTATATTGATAATTAGTCACCTCTGACTAAAGACAGTCACAATACTAGTTTTTCAAGCCCTAAAATAATTGTAAAAGGCTTGCCAAATACCAATATTTATGAAAAATGGCATTTTTTTTATATGATTGCGAGCCAAACAGGGCCTAATAATATTTTTGGAAATATGATACTACAGTATTTTTATTTTAACTTATAAGCTATTTTCAGAAAATACAATAGTATTTATTTATTGGTACATGCCAAACAGGGCCTAAATAAAATAATAAAAATAACTTTTAGTTTACCAACTATTCTGAGTAGAGTTATGCATAGTAATAAAATTAAAATAATATTATATTTTTATTTGTGTCACTTGGTTGATACTAGAATTTTTACAAAATTTTACCAAAAACTAGCTATATCTAGGCTTAAAAATAAAATAAAATTAAAATTAAAAAATTAAAAATAAGTAACTATTATAATAATATTATCATATTAATACTCAAGGTATATTGATCACTATCTTAGACTAAATTAGGTGTAATATAAATGTCATAAATATCATAGTCATTCTTAAATGAATTTATATATATTAGCAAAAATTTTTATCTGTGTCTGGTACTAAGTTATTTCTTATTATATAACTTTACAAATATAAGTCTTTATTCTTGTGTTAAAAACAGACATCAACTCACTTATCCTAAGGCTATATTCTTATAATCTTATCTTATAAACATCAACCATATCAAGTATGATACTATCATTTACCCTGTTCAGATGGGGTGATAAATGAGGACTAAGAGGAATACAAGAACACGAACATTTATTAGGACATTATTGCCTGTTGCAGGAATATAGATAAGAGGAATATAGGTCATCCTAACACCTTTTAACATTTATTGATTCAATGCCGGAACATATAGAGGCTGTCATTGCAGAAAACGGGGTCATACTCGTTGGTGAATGCCAATTATTTCATAATATTATATTTTTCTTTTTTAAATTTTTTCATATTTTTTTGATTATGATAATATAAAATTTTATGCAAAGAAACAATAGTCGCATTTTGCTTAAACCCCACCCTGTACCACTTTTATGCTAACTACATTTGCTAATTACGGGGATGATTTAGTATCCTTGGCAATGCACTCTCAGCTCCCGAGATCCCCCTGTGTTCGCTCCGCTCATGCTGGGGACTTGGATTGGTAGTGAAAGAGCTAGCACTGATTAGGTGAGGCTCATGTTGTTGTGCCAAGAAGTCATGTATGTTTTGATTTCCCCTCCACAATTCCCCGTGTTCCTCCCCTCCAAACTCCCTATCTCGACTATACAAACAGTCAACCATCAACCCTCAATTTTAGACAATCTAATACCCTAGGTCAACATCTTATATTTGCGGCGACTCAATGTCGTCAGTAACCCCTGCCAGACCTTCTAGGCGGGCAGCCGCCTCACGACGTACGAAAAAGGTTGTCGAATCCTCAGAGTCAGAGGCGGAATTGGAAGCTCCAGCAATAGAAGAGGGAGATTATGAGGAAGCCGAAGAGGGAGAAGATGAGGATGAAACACCGCCCCCCCGCCCAACACCTCGCCGTAAGTCAAGGAGAATCACTAGTGCACCAGCTCCCGCAGTTGCACCACCGAGAACTGCCAGAACTCGGCGTACACGGTCTGGGGCAGAGCCAGAAGCTCCCCCGTCCATTGCTCCTAAACCTCGAGCAACTCGTACATCAAGGAAAAAAGCCCCACTTAAATTAAAGACTCCAGAGATAGAGGAGGATTTGGATAGGAGGGATGTCTTAGGTAAAGAACAAGTGCCTGGGAAGGGGGATGCTCTTGAACAAGAAGATACGCCCATGGGAGAAGGTGCCGAGGAAGACCCTATTGTCCAGAAGCAAACGCCTCGGCCATCTGCGACACCCGCACGTCTGCTTCCACAAGCCCTTGGACCTACTGGGCAGCTTCGCACACCCTCCCCAACACCATCTGGTCGACCGACACCAGCGGTAGCACCACCATCGGAACAGCCACAACCGGAAGCGGCACCAACTACTCCTATTAAGCCTCTTGAAGGAATGGTGACATCGTCGATGGCCGGAGGGGATGCAGTTACCCCACGACCTACGTCTTCCTATTCAAATAGCTCGCAAAATCCTCCAGTCATTGTGAAGTCCAGGGCAAATGCTCTTTTCCAACAACAGCAGTTGGAACAAGAACAGGGACCTAGGCCTCGGCTGGTTATTACTCACTTAGTGTTAATGAACTTCAAGTCGTATGCTGGCAGACAGGAAGTTGGACCTTTCCATGCTTCATTTTCGTCCGTTGTCGGGCCAAATGGTTCGGGAAAGTCTAATGTCATCGACTCTCTTCTATTCGTCTTTGGATTCCGCGCAAGTAAGATGCGACAAGGCAAGGTTTCGGCCTTGATTCACAACTCGGCTGCTTTCCCGAACCTTGATTACTGCGAAGTCGAAGTCCACTTCCAAGAAGTCCTTGATGCGGCTGGCGGTGGGCATGAGGTGGTTCCAGATTCAAAGTTGGTTGTTTCGCGTCGAGCCTTCAAGAACAACTCTAGCAAATATTACATCAATGGCGGAACGAGTGATTATACCCAGGTTACGACTCTCCTTCGCGGCCGTGGAATCGATCTTGACCACAAGCGATTCCTTATTCTCCAGGGCGAAGTTGAGAGTATTGCTCAAATGAAGCCTAAGGCTCAGCACGACAGTGACGATGGTTTGCTAGAATATCTAGAAGATATCATCGGCACAAGTAAATATAAACAACCTATTGAGGAGTCTGCCACCCAAGTCGAGGAACTTAACGAGATTTGCGTTGAGAAATCTACCAGGGTACAACATGTCGAGAAGGAAAAAAACAGCCTCGAGGACAAAAAGGAGGCCGCACTTGAGTTCATCCGGAACGAGAATGAGCTCACAATGAGAAAGTCTGCGCTTTACCAAATTCATATTGCGGATAGTACAGCGAACATCAATGTCACCGCAGAGATGACCACTCAATTGCAAGCACAACTGGATGAGGAGCTGGAGAAGCATCGGGGCAATCAAGATGAGATCAAGAAACTTGAGAGAAAGTACAAGGCCGGCTCTAAGGAAGTGGAGGAAGTGGAGGCTGCTACAAAAGCTATCCTTAAGGAGCTAGCCAGGAGCGAAAAAGAGAATGTCAAGTTTCAGGAGAAAGAAAAGTTTCTTACCCAGAAGCAGAAAAAATTACAAAAGGCTATTCAGACGGTTTGTCCCCACGGATTTATTTTTAAATGAGTTATATTGCAGGCTAATATCAAAAAAGAATAGATTAGCTGCATCAGAGGCGGCTGCTACAATTGAAAAGCACACGCAGGATCTCGAGAGATTTGGTAAACAGATAGCGACTTTGGAAGCGAATTTGGGTGCCGAAGAGCAGGAGTTGGATCGTATCCGTGATACTCTCAAAGGTGGCCAATCCCAGCTTCCTGATACTAGTGTTTCTTTGAATGAAGTTAATATATATGTATAGAGAAAACGCAGGGATATTCGGATCAGATCGCTGTTAAGCAAAAGACGCTAGAACCGTGGAAGGAAAAGATCAATGAAAAGCAGTCTGCTATTGCGGTTGCGCGGAGTGAGCTTGATATACTTTATGAGAAAAACAACGCTAGTCAGAATGCCATGGAGGAGGCTCAAACGAAAATTGCTGCCATCGACGGGTCCCGCGCTGAGAAGGAACAGGAGCTCAAGGATTGTCAGAAAGAGATTGCGAAGCTCAGCAAGCAGGGTCAGAAAGTGCAGACTGAGCTCGAGAAGATAAACCAGAGGGAGCCGCAGTTACGGAACAACGTTTCTGGGGCAAGGCAGAAGGCCGACGAAGCCAAGGCCTCCCTTGCTGCCACACAGACTCAGGGTAACGTCTTGACTGGATTGATGCGATTGAAAGAGTCTGGTAGAATCGAAGGATTCCATGGCCGTCTCGGGAATCTTGGAACGATTGATGCTAGATATGATGTCGCCATCTCGACTGCTTGTCCCCAGCTCGACAACATGGTTGTGGATAGCGTTGAGGCAGGTCAACAGTGTATTGACTACCTTCGAAAGAATAACCTTGGAAGAGCCAACTTCATTTGTCTCGACAAACTTCACTCTAGAAACCTTAATGCAATTGAAACGCCAGAGAATGTACCTAGGTTGTTCGACCTTGTCAAGCCGAAGAGCCCAGTACTTGCTCCTGCCTTCTACAGCGTCCTCCAAGATACCCTTGTTGCGAATGGCCTTGCACAAGCCAACCGTATTGCGTACGGAGCTAAAAGATGGAGGGTTGTGACACTAGAGGGACAGTTGATTGATAAATCGGGTACTATGACTGGAGGTGGCCAAACTGTCTCTAAGGGAAGGATGTCGAGTAAACTTGTCGCCGATACCTCCAAGGAAGCAGTTGCCAAATTGGAAGCCGATAGAGACGCACAGGAGAGAATCTTCCAGGAGTTTCAGCAACAGCGAGGCGAGCTGGAGTCAACTCTCAGGGATATAAAAGGGCGTATACCAGAGGCAGAAGTCATGATTTCTAAGATTGTGCTCGAGATCGAAGCTGGGAACAAACAAAGGACAGACTTGGAGAAACGGATCCGGGAATTGAGTGCACAAGGCAAAACCTCTAAGGTAGATGACAAACAAGTTTCAACTCTTGAGGGTAGGATTAAGCAGCTGGGCCGAGAAATTGGGGGACTCAACTCCGGAACTGCCGGGATAGAGGACGAAATTAAGTCCCTGCAGAACCTAATCATGGAGGTCGGCGGTATCAAGTTGAGATCACAGAAGTCCAAGGTGGACGGCATTAGGGAACAGCTCGAGACGCTGAACGAACAACTCTCCAATGCCGACATGGCCCGAACAAAGGCCGAAAAGAGTCGAACAAAGGCCGAAAAGGCATTCAACGGCAGCACCAAAGAGCTTGAGAATATCGCAGTTGAGCTTGAGGAGTTGCATGAGGAGATCCAGGACCATGCAAAGCTGGCCGAAGCCGATAACGCAAAGGCGGAAGAGGCACAGGCTTATCTCGAGGAGAAGTCAGAGGAACTTGCTGCTGTTAAGGAAGAACTTGATGAGAAGCTAGGCGAACTCAACAAAACTAGGGCTGCTGAAATTGAGATGAAGAATAAGTTGGAAGAGCACCAGAAGGCGCTTGTAGATAACCAGAAGAGGTTAAGGCACTGGGAACAGGAGCTAAGCAAGCTAGAATTGCAAAGTGTTAGGTATGTTGTTACTGCGGTTATGGGTCTGGGCTTGGTACTAATATCGGTCGCAGCGATGGTGCTGAGGCAACTGAAGAAGACCTTAGTCTGCCTGAGTACACTGAAGATGAACTGGCAGATATGGATAAGGCTCAATTGAACGGCGAGATTGCGGCTCTAGAAGGTTCGCGCCCCGTTCAAAGCGGCCCGTTGTGGTGGATGTTGATTTGAATGCTGAATAGAAAAACTGCAAAACGTGAACGTCGACATGGCCGTCCTTGCCGAGTACCGTAAGCGCGTTGAGGACTACCAAAGGCGAAGCAAGGACCTTGAAGAGTCAGTTATCGCGCGTGATTCTGCCAAACAGCGGGTGGATGACCTCCGGAAACGACGACTCGAAGAGTTTATGGAAGGATTTAGCGCGATCTCATTACGGCTAAAGGAAATGTACCAAATGATCACTATGGGCGGGAATGCTGAGTTAGAGCTTGTCGACAGTTTAGATCCCTTCTCAGAGGGGATTCTCTTCAGTGTTATGCCGCCGAAAAAGAGTTGGAAGAACATTTCCAATCTTTCCGGTGGTGAGAAAACACTTAGTTCCCTTGCGTTGGTGTTTGCTTTACATCATTACAAACCCACTCCGTTATACGTCATGGACGAGATTGATGCTGCGTTGGATTTCAGAAACGTCTCTATTGTCGCTTCGTATATCAAGGAACGAACCAAGAATGCCCAGTTTATTGTTATCTCTCTGAGAAATAACATGTTTGAACTCGCAGCACGGCTGGTTGGAGTGTATAAAGTCAATCACATGGTAAAACATTCCTCTCTTCACCCTTCCTATTTCTATTATTTATCTAGAAATTGTGCTAACCACTGCAAACAGACTAAGAGTGTGACTATCGAAAACCAAGATTATATAGAAAAGCATTAATTTCTTTTGCTTTTTATTATTGCTTTGTATCGTGGTAGGGTGGGTCTCTCTGGGGTTAGGGTGCGGTTTTATTCTATTATCACTCTAGAAACGTGGGTTATTGGGTAATCATAGTTTTTTTTTTTTTTTTTTTGCAATCACTGTTTGCTATCCAGAACTGGGCGGGCAGAGCCTAACAAAGAAGCTCATGGTTTGGTTCTAGAGAGAAAAAAAACCCCGTGTCACTCGAACGCCCAAATGCTTAGCAACGCCTCCAGCATCCCAAACCAGAACTATTCGAGTACTTGTACTGTACTAGTACTGTACACTAAAAACCGACCCTCTTGATAAATTTTATGTTCTTAAGCCTCTTGTACAAGTACTCGTACACTCTTTTTCCGCTTAGTAATAGATATAATATTATATAAAGAAAGTAGCACCTGGTGATTGTGGTATCATACAAGTAATTTAAATTAGCACAACAACAACCCTCCCCGCATCTGGTCACTCGTCCCAAACTCACCTTTCGCTTCCCAAGACCTAAATTACGGGTAATCCTCCAAGTCGATCACCCGCACTTGCATTGCCGAGTCCAACCTACAGTACTTGTACAGTACTCCCAGTGACTCTTTCCCCTTCCCCCACTTCTGCACGCGACACCGACTTCGCACACGTACGCTTCCAACACGCGACTCACACGCAGACCCCGTGACAAAAGTGCAACTCGTCGAGTGAATCATAACCCCGCGCGAACAAGGACTTTATATATATATATGTATCTGTCCCCCCCCCATGGCCCTCTTTCCCCGCCTTGACGAAAAGGGCGGAGCATAAGTGTCAGGGGTGAAATTCGTTGATGGTACTTGTCCAGTACGGTACCGTATGGCACTCTGCACGAGGCACAATGCAAGTCATTGTTTATCGGTACAGTATTTTGGTTCGTTGGTTCGTCAGGGGGAGTCAAGCCGTGCTGCAGAGCAGTTGTGGTATTACTCATAGGCGCACGCGTGATTATTAGAGTGAGATAAGGCGGAGGAGTGTGCAGGGGGAGGGGGGGGGTATATATATTAGGAGGAGGCGCTTCCGCTGTTCTTTTTTTTTAAAAGTTCGCACATGTACTTGTACGAGGTACACTTTGTTTTCCTTCTTTTCTTCTTCTTGACTCCTTATTTATTTATTTATTTACTCGAGTACCGGTATGTGAGTGAATTGCTCTGAGTCATATCAAAAAAAAAGAATAGATAAACAACCCCTGCGCCCAATATGGACGCTGCTACTCTCCGAACAACTAGTGAAGAGAAGAATGACCCTGAAGCCATGTCCTCCCCCTCCTCGCCCCTAGAGACCGCCGAAGCCACCACCACCCCTCCACCAACCTCCTCCTCCACCTCCCAGCCAACAACTCCGCTAACCGAAGCCACGGATCCCTGGGAGGAACTCTCCACGGGCACCGCGGAAACCTCCCTGTCAGCCACCTTCTCGGTGCTGAAGGGGTACAATCGCGTCCCGATCTACGAACGCAGAGCGCAATGGCTGGCAGAGCAGCAGTCCCGGCGCGAGCAGGTATTCCACCATCGCCTGGCGCTCCCGCGCGGGAATGCTGGGGATTTCAACCCGAACGCGGACCTGCCGTTTCCAATTACAGCGCAGTTCTTGCAGTCGTATGGTGGGGGGGAACAGGAGAGAGGGAGGAGGGTGCATTGGAGTGGTAATCGGGAGGGCGGGGGTTCGGGGAGGACGGTGGTTGCTGCTGGGATGGTTGTCGGGATGAGTGAGGGCGAGGAGGAGGAGTATGAGTATGAGGAGGAGGGGGAGGGGACGTCAACGATTGCATCGCCAGTTAGTGAGCGTTCGGAGAGCGGTGTTCATGCACTCGTGCCGTCTCCGGTGCACCGGGGGGAGGAGGAGTCGGGAGTGTTTAGGAAGCCGAGGCTGGATAGGAAGACCAGCGGCATCCCCAGCTTCGACAGTCTCTTCGAGACGAAATGGGATTTTGATATGCTCATTCGAAATGTCACTCATGCTTCGAGCAAAACTAAAAAAGGTTGGGTTTTAGACGAACCCAAGACTTCTATTAGGCAATCTAAAGATATCCCCATGGCTTCCTCCTCTTCGTCTTCGCGAGTCAGCGAGAGCTCCATCTTCGGGAGCATGCACGGATCGAAGGCGACCTTTGGGAGTTACTTGAAGTACCTCCAGAGTCATCGCAGGAGTTATTCTTTCGGAATGCTCCTCTTCGGATGTCTAAGCTTGGTCATGTTGCAGAATAGATTCCTAATGGCAGGAATAATGACGGAGACACCTTTGGCGCAGGCCAGGTATGCTTACGAGGGGTATAATGCTTCGCAATATGCCACTATAGACTTCCCGGGACTCCTCTCGACCGAGACAGCGTTGGAGAAGAGCCTTGCAAGCGTCGCTGCAGCACCCGCTCTTGCCAGATTGCTAAAACAGAGTGAGATAACTGTCAGCGATCTGAGCACCGTAGTCCAACACAGCGACCTAGACTGCAAGCACACCCTCTCGGACCTCCTCCTCAAATTCGCGACTCAAGCGGGAGACGTGGCAGGCTTACTCCAGGCCTTTGAAAGCACCGTCAGTCGAGCACTCACTCAGTAAGTCACTTCCCACCCCCTCCTACCATACCAAAGCTGACAAGTCCAGACTCGACTCCGCCAACGCCCAAACCCTCCAGCACCTCAACCACCACCTCCCCCCACCACTTCCATTCTACAAATCCCTCCTGAGGAAAAACCCCCACCACTACTACCACCTCCTGCCCTCACAAACGCAACACCTCTCAACCGCCCACGAAATACTGGCGCACCACATCAACAACACGCTCTCAGCCCTCGCCCAGGAAACCGGCGCAATCCTGCGCTCCCTGAGGACACTCTCCCACCAACACGCGCCAATCTACGCATCCATAGTCCGGGAATTCACCGCGATCGAGCGCGCCCAGACTACCCTGTGGACGCGCGCTCGCGGAGTGGACTACAGCGAGAGTAAGGAGTTACTCGCGCTTGTGGGCACGTATGAAGAGAAGGCGCGTGGGTACGTCGAGAGGGTCGGCATGGAGTACGTCGCGCTGCGTGGGGAATTGGTGGGTTTACGAGAGGGGTTGAAGGAGGCGGGACGAGTGAGCGGTGGTGAACTTGTTCCATTCGAGGCGCAGATTCGCGCTGTGAGGGGGATGGTGGAGTTGAAGAGAACAAGGGACGCACGGATGAGCGCGAGGAGCGGCTGTCTGGGCGGGGTAGGGAAGAGGAGCGGTGGCGGCGGAGCGGCAGTGGGGTATCGCGGGCTGTTCAAGCCGACGAAGACTAAAATTACTTAGAGAAATGGAAAGACCGGAAAATAGTTTGTATACATGCACCATATTCCGGCCCCTTTTCGCTTGGATTTTAGGGAAAAAACATGTCCCCGGAAGGATGGGAGTTTGAGAACGGACGGTGCACGTCTTTCAGAAAAAATTGTCTGGAGAGATGGGATTTGCAAGTCGAAATTGATTTTCCTTGCGTACCGACGGGACGGACATAAGTTGGGGCAAAATTGGCACACAGGAAAACGACCCTTCCCCTCTCCGACTCGAAAAACGAGTTTTTGCGAGAAACATAGATGGAAGCTTCCTCCTCCCGCTTTCCTTCCTATATTACTGCTTTGTTCACTTCACTTTGTCGATCAAGCAAGCGTACGTATTCTCCTTCGTTCATTTGTAGTGTATGCATAGAATATCACTATTTGTCGCGCCGCTATCACCATTTTCCTGCCTCTTGCATCGCTCCCCCACCGTTTGACGTCCTGTCTATACCCTGCCCTGGCCCTACATGCATTTATCTCTCAAAATCACATCAAACCCTATACACCCTCATCACTATGCCATCTACGCTACCCTCACCTTTTCCCTCTTTTTCCGATTACCATTCTTTCGGTCGGGTTCGATTGCTCACTTTACTCTTTTTTCTTTCGTTGCGAACGATTGTGTGATAGGGAGCGATCGAGCGAGCGAGCGAGTGGCTTTCGGGGGGGTGGATAGATTGATGGAAACGGGGCAGGGAAATTCACGGGGCCTGATTCGACAAGACGTCTGAAGGAAGGAAGTGGGGGGGGGGGCAGGGAGGAGAGAGAGAGAAATTGGGTTGCTTAAATTGTCTTCACACCTTTTTTCCTTCTATATCAAGTTAGGTATGATACTTTGTTACTATCATAGGTAGCAACTGAATTGCACAACCATATACCACCTATTGAAAAGCAATACTTTATCCCCAATCACCCGCCCCCCTCTCTAAATCTTCGCCTTCAATTCCTCAAACAGCGCCTTCAACCCGTCCATGTCAGTAGCCTGTGCCGGCCACTCAATCCCCAACCCTTCCTTCGCATTCGGCTTCGGAATCTATCACCACCCCACCAAACCGTTAGCCCTCCGTCCTCCTGTACAAGATATGGCTCGATAAGAGAATCTACCATATGGACATGAACATGATCGACAAGCTGATGCGCCCCACGTCCGTTGTTCTGCAGAATGTTGTACTCCACTGCACCGGCCGCTAATGCGAGCCTCTTTGCGGCGGGGAGGAGCTCGCTGAGCTCTGCGTCGGGCACGTCGTGGAGCTTTTCGCCGTGGGTTTTGGGAATTAGGAGCTGGATGTGGGTTAATCATTTGCCCACTTGATTGTGGGGGGAGGTGTGGAAGAGGGTGGGGATTACAGCGTGTCCGCGAGAAAGAGGATTGATATCGAGGAATGCTAGGATTTTGTCGGTTTCGAGGAGCTATAGGGTGTGCTGGTCAGTGCTGTGTGGGTTTCTTTCTTTTCCGGATTGGAGTGCGGGGAGCGGAGAGGGGGAGAGTGGGGAGAGATTGGGAAGTGGGGTAGAAAAACCTTGAAGGAGGGGATTTCGCCACGGATGATTTTGCAAAAGATACAAGCCGCAGCAGACATTTTGGTGGTTAGTTGGGCTCTGTTTGAGTTGGCGGCTGCAGTGTGATGATTGATGGTGGTGTTTTATTGTTTGGAGGTTGATTTTGCGTGACGGTTTGATGGGTGTTTGGCTTCGGGAGCTGGAAGTCGGGAGTTTTTAAAAGTTCCCTGGGTTTTTGGTTTGTCACCTTTTTTTGGTAGTCTAATTGAAGAATACCGGTATTGATACAAGTGGCCTTGCGTATATTATTGCAAACTATGCTATAGTCAAAATGCTGTAACCTTTCGTCAATATATTAGCACTATTGTATGTGAAGGTCTTTTGGAGTAAAAGTTACTACTCAGTACGTTGCCAAAAACATACAAGTAATTTTAAATTTTATCACTGCTGCCACGCTATGCTACGATTGAAAAACTAGCCCTCGTTATCTCCCATTCATTACTTGTACCTCGGAACCCCCCTTCCCCTAGCGATCCCACTGCCCCGCCCTCCCCGACCACCCCTTGGTCCACGGCGGGCAGGGGTCTTTGTAGGGGTCGGGACCCTTGGTGGAGCGGGTTCGTGAACGAAGGATTGGTCGTTTGTTCTACGATAAAAGGTCAGGCTCCCAATTATAAGAGGAAGGGGGGGGATCACACAAGAATGTAGTTTCAGCGTCATAATCAGATCTCCAACCGCCATGCTGTGAACCACGGCCCGCCGATCGACCTAAGAGAAGTCAGAGCAAACCCCTCAAACCACCAAACGCAAGCTTAACAAACCCAACGTAACCTCATGCTCCTCCGCTCTCTTGAATGACTCCTGAACCGGCGCCTACGGGAGAAACCATTAAGCTGGCTCCGTTACGTTGAAAGATTTGAGGGGACAAACTTCGGTAAAATCCACGCAGAAAGCATTCATGTTCAATCCATAGAGAAAACTAGCGAAGCTCTCGCTAAACCTGGATAAGCTATCATGCATAATCTGCATATCCGCCATATTAACTTCTAGGGTAGTCACGGCATCCGAGAGCTCGGCGAATGCAGGTTCGAGTGCGTTGAGCGGGAAAGCATCATCAACCGTTTTACCGGCAAGGGAACCACGCGAGGAGCGGCGTAGCGGAGTATGCGGACGAGAGGGAGGCCGAGATCCAGACTTGTTCTGACGATTGGACGATGAGGGAGTAGCAGCTGTTTCTGTCATATTGGCGGTAGTGGTGGCGGTGGTAGTGTAGAAGGGGTACTCGAGCACAGGACGAATGCCGGTGTGATAAGTTATGGATGAAGAAATGGATGATGACCTGACAGTCATGTCTGCTCGGGCTCGGCTCTGGGTCACAAGTGTATCGTCACCCGTGACATCTGTGTCACGGATAGGGTTGGACGGGGGGTGACGTGATGTGGATGGTCGGAGGATCTCGCAGCCGAACTCATTTCCAGAAGTCTCACGCGTTACATGCGGCGCAGTACAAGCTCCGGTACCGATAGTTCTACCGCTCTGATGATAGGATAACAAGTATACGAACTTTCTTTTGTCATCACCCATTTTTTCAACCCAACAGCTACTAATACAGATTACGAGTTACTGTTGGTTGTCACACAGATGTCCATCCATCTTGCTCTTCTCATCTTACACTCAGTGTTTCTCAGTGGCTGAGCTTCCTATTTCCTGCCCTTTTATGTGACATTCTATCATATTCGTCACCATTCCGGTCCAATTGGGTACTCGAGTACGGAATCAGCGGGTTAGGGCTGCTTTATTCTGACCCAAAAAAGGAATTAATACCGGTATCATACTCGAGTAGAGGGAAAGAGAGAGAGAGAGAGAGAGGAAGGGGGAAAAAAGAAAAATATATACATTATTATTATAATATAGGAAATTCGAGAAAAAAATCCCCTAAACTCAAAATATATTACCCTTTTCACCCAGAAAAATTAAAGCTCTCCCTCCTTTTCACCAGGACACAGAAAGGGGAGGCCCACCCAGAAGAAGGGAGGGGGTGATGTTCAAATCTCTTCCTCACACATTCCTGCGCAGCACAGGCACATCTTCCTATATCCACTCACGTCCGCGGCAACAAAGAGCATTCCGCAGCTTCTCCTCCTCTTTCTCCCCCTTCTCCTCCTCCTCATCGTCGCCATCTATACCCAGATTCCCTCGCTATTCCCGTCCAATACATTACCTGCTACCAGTCGCAGTCGTAATAGCGGCGTACGCTCTCGCGAAATTCTCGAATCCTAACTTTTCGCACCTGCATTCCTTCCGCCCTCAAAAGACTTCCTCCTCGCAACCCATCTTTCTGACGCCCACCATGTCCACCCCCGGATCAATTGCTCCCGGGCGTCCGGAGACACTAACGAAAGAGGAGGAAGCCAAGCTAAAGGAGTTCTGGAACACAGCACTGAAAGTATTCGGCGTGAGTGCACCGGAAGGTTCCGAGTCCCCTTCCCAAGCCCCTGCTACTGCCGAGGAGAACGGCGACCCCGTGACGTCGCACACCTCACCGGACAAGAAGAAGAAAACGCTCGGGAGACTGCTTAGCCGGAAGGAAAAAACTGGCGCTCCAAGGAAGGAGCCGCCAGCCGCGACCGATGCGGGTGCTGACATAGCGCTTGACGCCTCGGATGACAAGTATGGTCACACAAAGGAGTTCAAAGCTGCGCTAGCCTCGCAGACCCCGTCCGAATTGCGAGATGCCTTCTGGAGCATGGTTAAGTGCGACAACCCTGACGCGCTGCTGCTGAGGTTTCTGAGGGCGAGAAAGTGGGACGTGGACAAGGCGCTGGTAATGATGGTCGCTACCATGAATTGGAGGTCCAAGGACATGAATGTATGTCTTGCCTCGGCCCCATGCATGAGAGCCGTTACTGACGGGATTGTTTTGCCAGGTACAAACTGTTGTCGGGAAGGGCGAAGGCGGAGCAGCAGCGGAGAAGGATAATGACTTTATGATGCAGTTGCGTATGGGAAAGTGTTATCTCCATGGACTGGACAAAGAAGGCCGCCCTATATGTTTTGTCCGAGTGAGACTGCATAAGCAGGGTGAGCAGAGTGAGGAGAGCCTTGAACGGTACACAGTCTACATCATGGAGACGGCCAGGCTGATGTTGCAGCCTCCGGTTGACACTGCTGTAAGCAATCTTCTCATGAGTTGTACGAAATATCGCACTAACTCTACAGGCGGTTGTCTTTGATATGACTGGGTTTTCTATGGCGAACATGGTAAGAACTCCTAACCCCAACGGGAAATAGCGGAAGAGACCTAACTTCCACAGGATTACGCCCCTGTAAAATACCTGATCAAATGCTTCGAAGCTCACTACCCCGAGAGTCTCGGAATCTGCCTCGTACATAAAGCCCCATGGTTGTTCTCAAGCATCTGGGTGATTACACTCCTCTCTCGGTCCACTCTTCTTACCCTAATGCCACGACACTAACATCCCAATAGGCCGTAATCAAAGGCTGGCTCGACCCCGTCGTCGCCTCCAAAATCCACTTTACCAAAACAATCGAAGACATGGAAGCCTTCATCCCTAAAGAAAACATCCCCAGAGAACTGGGCGGCAGCGAGGACTGGACCTACACATACGTAGAGCCAACCCCCGACGAGAATGTCCCGCTGGAAGACGAGGCACGCAAAAACACGCTCCAATCCGCCCGCGGGGAGCTAGTCCGTAAATACGAGAGCGCGACGCACGCGTGGATTGCCGGCGGCGAAGCGGGTGAGATTGCTGCTGCGGAGCGTAAAGCTATCGCTAGGAAGCTAGCCACCGGGTACTGGGAGATGGATAAAAACTTGCGCGCTAGGACGGTTTATGATCGTACCGGTGTGCTGTTGCCGAATGGTCAGGTGGACTTTTATGGTCATAGAAAGAAAAACGCTGGTGCGGTGGAGACTTCGGAGGATGACATTGATTAGTTTGATTTTTGTGATGGTTTTTTATTTTATTTCATCTTTCTCTTGTTTGGAGGAGGAGGAGGAGGAAGGGTGAGGGTAATGGTTTTTGAAAGTTTTTGAGTATGATATGATAGGCTAGATACCATGATCTGCGGGGTTGGAGGTGGGAGTTGGGATGGGATGAGGTGGCTTTAGATAGGTTTTTTTTTTTTTTTTTGGTTTGTTTAGAGGGCTTATCGTACTTCTAGAGATATATTTGCCGAGCGGGAGAGGGGAGATACCGGTGACGTCTGATTAATACTTGCAATCATATCATGTATTGTATAAATTGCGCTTGTGGGTATGTAACTATATAGAGCGCTTTCTTTCTTTCTTTTTTTTTTTTTAAAAAAAAAGGGGAGGGGGAAACAAGAAACTCCTTGCCCAAATTCCATGCTATGATGTAGCCAACCGGCCAGTGGATATACAGTAGAACGGAGTTGATGTATATATGAAACAAGCTTACACCGCCGGTCTATACCTATCGGCCCTTCTAGCACTTACACCTCCGCCGGTCGACCATCTATCCCGTCTACCCTCCCTCTCCCTCACCCGCGCCCTCTCCCTCTCAACATGCCCACCACCCCCCTCCCTCTCCCACTCCGCAAACCCCGCCCCCTTCTCGGGGCTCGGATACTGCGCCCATCGATCAAACTCCTCAACCCTCTCGTACGGACTCCTGAGGAAGGCATTAAGCTCATGCACGAAAACGCCGGCATTCCTCCTACCCAAGAACTCAGCGAGCATGTCCTCAGCGGCACCGCTCGCGCTCTTGAGGTCCACGCTCTTTAGTATGGCGATGACGTACTCGAGCACGAACTCGGCGTTGTCCGCCAGGAAGGCGAACGTGGAGAGTTCGCGGCGGATGAAGGCGCGCGCGCGCGATTGCAGGTGCTCAGAGGCGAGGAAGATTGCCGGGGTGAAGTTTGTGTGGTTGCTTAGCCGGTTGGCGCCTACATGGCTGGAGCGCAGACCGTGCGTGTAGATGTGGCGTCTTGTGAGGATTGAGGAGGGGGGTGGGGATCGGGGACGGCGAGGACGGTAGGGGCGCCTGCGGGTGTCGGTTGTAGTTGAAGAGGAGGAGTAGAAAGTGGGTTTCGAAGGCGCTGGTTTCCTAGGGACGTTATGCTGGGTTTTACATTATTAGTTCAAAATCATATGATACGGGAGGTCATGGAAACTCACTTTAACGCCCCCAACCTCTAACCACTCGATCGCAACCTTGCACAGTGGGCATAGGGGCTTAACCTCCATCCACGTGAGTACGCAGATATAATCGTACTCATGCCCGCACGGGTTCGCAACGGCTCTCTCGGAGATTGCCTCTTGGCATATCACGCACGCTGTAGCTTCTTCAGCTTCCCCTACCTTTGATGGCGGCGGCGATGGCGTCGGCGATGCGATCCGTCGTCGCTTGCGGGGGTTGTGGTGGTTGTAGGCTGGGTCCATTCGCGTTGCGGTTGGTAGTCTGAAGCTCGACTTGAAGGTTGATATGATGGAATGATAAAGGTGGCTCCTGGAATCTGGACCGAGAGAGTGGGTAGTGCAGGGCTTAGGCGTAGGGTTCCACAAGATACCGTAAAAACTCGAATAAGCGGACCATGTGCTATGGAGTTGAATTAAGGTGAATCATATTAAGACTATTCGTCAGGTAAGGCGCAATATCAGTCTCAGTCTTTCTTGGCAGTTACTCAAAATATATTTCTGCTTCATCTTCATGCTCATCAAGTTCTACAGGATCATTTTCATCATCAATAATACATTCCCCCTCCACGTTCTTCAATCCTTCGGTAAGAAATACTGTGTCTATACCCTTTATGGAAATCTCATGATCTGCTGACCCATCTATAGGAAGCGCAAGACCAACAATGTGGAATGCCTTCCTCACGATTGCCTTTTTCTTAACCGAAAACCACTCCCATGCCTCTCCCACCGCCCAGGTCACTGCAATTCGCCTCCGCTCCACCTTACTCCCAGTTAACCTTCCCCCCCCTGTCAATAATTTCTTCTTCCTCCCTTTCTATTTCGTCTAGCTTTGCCTCTAACGAATCCTATTAGTGTGTTAGCTCTTGCTTTTTTTATTTCTTCTTTCGAGCACCCCGGTGAGTTCCCTCTCCTATAGTCATTTTATGAAATATACTAACCTTTAGGATGTCTTTAAATGGCCTATTTACCAAAACATTGAGAGGCTGCACAAGGCCAGTGCAGCCGCTGGGAATAACACTCGGTGTTATATTGTTCGCTTGCATGGTATCAAGCACCTCATTTGTTTTGTGTCCGGAAAACAGATCGAGTGCTAACAAGGTAGGTTGATTCTCCAGTACAGGAATCAATTGTTTCTCTAACCATTCAATCATATTCTGACTATTGGCATAGGCTGTAGGATTGAACTTGACTATAACCCGTGGGTCATATTCTTTCATTTCAGTAAGTACTGTTGCTCCTACTCCCTTGCCTCTGAGAAAGATTAATGGTTTAACTCTGGAGATACCATCAGCAAAGATAGTAAGCTGTATGGTCCCCTGCCGCTTGTCCCATCCGGAGGATTGACTTGACTGCATCCAGGTTGTTTTTTCCCCGGTACTATTGTAAGTATGGCTCTTCACAAATTCATATGGAACAGGAGTCTGATCCATGTTACAGATGTTACTCAGACAGTACAGGCCAACCGCAGCAGGAATATCGCCCCGCTCCCGCTCACTCCCAAGATGAAGTTGCGAATTTCGTCTATTGAACTGAATCCAGTTAAGTATCGTATTCCCAAAGTCTGCTGGTAGTTTACTGGCCGTATTGGTGATTGCATGAAGACTAATATGATGCCATGACAGGAAACTGCGGAACCATCCATTTGAAAAGTGAAATTTGGTAAGTTCTCCCTCACCATAGTGCTTTTGGACTAATTCCTTACTGACTCGCCAAAACCAACTACGCCTTATAGGCCTTCCACCTGCACACTGCTGTCTAAACTCCTCATACAATTCCTTCTCCATATCTACCCATTTCCTTTGTCTTCCCCCACCCAGCATCCGAGACTGACTACTTTTTCCAGTTAGATAATAGCCAGCCTCCTCTTCCTTCTTCCACCGCGAAAGATTTGTTGCTAGTATTTGAAACCATGCTGCAACCTCCGCCCGAGTTGGTTCACGAAAGTGGGTTGGGCTATAGGATATGCTTTTTGTTTTCCAATATGAGAGAATGCGAAGCTTATAATTGACTGTATAGGATCGTTGAGGGTTGCTTGTAGGCTCAAGCAGCTTGCAAAGGACCTCGGATAGGTATTTCCGCTTTGGACCAGTTTTCTTTTTGACTGCAGCATAGAAGCGATCTGGAGGAAGGGCTGAAAGTTGGGGTTGAGTGCAGATCCGTCCAGAGGGTTGATTTGTGACTCGTGAAGGCATTTTAGAATTACCTTTGGGCTCTTTTCGGTTTGATTTGGACTAACTTTTGCGCGATCTCACAGGGCTTCTGGGATGCAAATTCGTTTTGGGCTCTTGGAATCCCTTTGGTATTCCATTTCCTACTTTTTAAATTTACTGACAATATCGCCTACCGGTATCTCTCTTGCTAACTACACTGATCGCATGATATTAAGACACTCTTGTGTAGATTGTGTGGTTGACTTTCACCTCATATGAGGTTGAGATTATCACTTGTCTCGGACTACTAAATTTTCTTAGACACTAATTTCCGACATCCCCGTGTTCCAAACTCTAAACTCACTACCCAGCACATAGTCCGCTTATTCGAGTTTTTACGGTAGGTTAACTGAGGTGTGGCTTTCTTAGCCACAGTCAACTTGCATGTTTCTTTTCGTGGAAATGAGGGAGGGGGGTGGAAACGCTGTTCTGGGCAACTAGAGCACGACATCATAATATTACTATCTCGTATAAAGCGCAAGTATATCATAGTAAAGTGCCTCACCAGTATAACCGAATAATTACGCCACCGTTCAAAACGGACCCTCCAACCTTCCCAAAACCCGACAGTGAAAACAGGACTCTTCCCCAAAGCACCCTCTCCCATCTCAAGTTCCCCCACTGCATCATTAGAGCCCTCACAGCCCCCCGAAAACCCACCATTTAACAATCCCCAATCTTGCAATGCCTAAATCGTCTCGCCCGTCTATATCGTGCCCAACCTTTGGTTATCAGCGGTAGCGAATAGACCTCATTCATGGATGCCTCTCGGTGCAACTCGGCCATTCGACATGGTCTAATGCCGCACTGCAAGAGATATGAAGGCAGGTATTCTGTACTGTACGTATCGTGAGTCTGGGGTATGAGTGGTTGGGCGAGTGATTTGTTCGTCTAATGAGGTTGGGTGTTGGTTCTTGGAGTGGTGCCTGGTGTATCGTATCATACGCCTCGAGCGTGAGAATCATGTGTGCTCGAGTAGGGCTGTGAATGCTCGTGTGGGAAATGTTGCGCACATCTATGATAGCCCCACTTATGGTGGGTTTCTTCTTTTGGTATATGATAAAGCCCCAAGTTCTAAAACCCCAACTGGTGTTTCTGTGTGCCAAGGTCGTAATTTCATCGCGATCTTTCTCCCTTTTTCTGTGTCCCTTCTCGGAATAGCTATAGACAAGATATCTGTCCCCAAACATTGAGTTTATCAGCTTTTCACCACACAATATTATACATCCGTCAACTTTATGTAGTATACCAAACATGCATACATCAAACATGTACCGTCCAAAACGCCCTCTCCAGGTTATGAATGACCGGGCACAAAATGCGCTAACCGAGAAATATTCACATTCACACAATAAAATATACTTAATAAACGGTCCGAAGCCCCGCACCGGCACCCGCAACTCTGGCAGCAACAAAGAACACGCCAGCGGCAATATAAGACGCGGCGGTGAACAAGATTAGTCCCGTAAACTGGTCGTTCGTCGAGTGGACGATTTGTCCGGCGATTGGAATGCCCGTGAGTGTTCTGTGGACGCCACCAAACATCATCAACCACACATCACCAACACAAGAATCCAAGAGGGAACAAACCCAAAACTGACGAAAAAGTAACAAGTCCCATATTTCCTCCCATACTCCCTAGTCTCACAAATCTGCCCGACACAAACCGGCGTAAGAGAGATCCCACTCCCGCTCCCGAACCCATACATCAAGGCGAACACGACCATGAGCGCCTTGGTCCCGCCTTGGTCCCCGCCATGCATGTGCGCTGACGGCAGCCACAACGCTAGCGTCGTTACTAGGCAGAAGGTGACGGTGATGATCATCGTATTGAACCGCCCAATCTTATCCGCTACGAGGCCGGGGAGCCAGCGGCCGAACACCGAACCGGCGTTCAGGATTGCCAGGAGTTGGTAGGAGAGGGCACGTGGGAGGTGGAGGTACAAGAGGGCGTAGGAGGTGATGTAATTTAAGGGGACGAAGATGCCCCACTCTATCATGAACACTCCCAGGGTCGTAAGAACGAACCGGGCGTCCCTGAATGCCATTAGGTCGATAGATACGTCGAGGCCCTCCTTCTTAGGCACCTTCTTATTCCTCCGGAATCTGCTCTTCCAATTCTTTTCTGTCGGCAGGGCCACGGCAGCGATGGAAGACGAAGTGGTGGTCGAAGACTCGGACGCGGGTGATGAAGATGCGGCATTGATATCCGAGAGTCGCGTGCGGATGAGCCAGTTCGCCGATACCAATAGCAACAAACAGACAGAGCCCACGATCCTAACGGCCCAGCCGAAACCAACTCTGGGTGTCGCAGATTGGATTATTAGTGGGAATATGATGCCGCCGACCGACCCGCCGGTCGTAGCAACACCGGTGGCGTACGCGCGCCTTTTGAGGAACCAGTGGCCGATAGAGGCGACGGCGGGCGTGACGATTAGGGATGTAGCCATGCCTCCCAGTATCTATGGGCTATTAGCTCCTTACACATACGCACATACATACATACAAGGGGGTGGATATACTCACACCAAAAGACAACATAAACTGCCAATAAGCTACAAGTAAAATCCGTCAGTGCCATCCAACGCGACCCTAGTCTATAGATGGCCAGGGACTCACACTGTGAAACGCTCGTAAGCGTCAAGCTAGCGACCATGGATACCGTCCCGCTGACCAAAAGCCACTTGGGTCCATAACAATCGAATATCGGCCCAATCTGGATCCCACCGACAAAGCTGATGAAGGCATACACAGAAAAAATCCACCCGATATGCCCTTCCTCATACCCACTCAATTGATGTTCGGAGAGGTGCGCCTGGAAGGTGCCGATAGTATTCATAATGCCGAAGGAGGCGACCATGCCGCAGAAAGAGCCTAGTACCACCGACCATGCCTTGCGTCCACCCTCAGGGTATGTCACCGTTGCGCAGCCGAGGGTTGCGGCGAGCGGATTGGTGATATTGCCGTTATTGGGATTGGGGACCGGTGACGGCGATGGTGAGTGACCATCGTTCCGGTGTGATGTTGTTTGTGAGAGGACTGGGAGATCCGTTGGTGATTGGCTGATAGCGAGGTGACGTTGTGGTTGTGGTTGCTCAGGCACCGACTCCAAGGACGAGGGGGGTTGGCGGTGGTTGTAAGACATATGGACCTGTGTGATATTATATTTTCTGTAATCAAGCCACCAGCAAGAATAATAGGTGAAGGAAATCCTCCAATGGAGAGGTATTTGAAGGAGCAGCAGCAGCAATATATTCCTCCTTCTCAACAATTGCCCATCCGGAAAATGATCATAGAATAATAATATCAAGAATAATAGAGAAGAGAAGAAAGAAGTGGGGAGGTGAGACCAGACTACATAATATGATATGGACCTAGGAGAATATCCGAGACTACCTCCACCCTCCCCTAAAAAAGAAAAAAAAGGGAAATTAAAGACTGTTCAAGCTCTTTCCCGCTAACAAAGAGCCCAAGACAATAGAGCGGGGAAATTTTTCGGAGCGTACCGTACCGACCCTCCCCTCCCTTCATCTCCTGAACCCCACGGCGCCATAAGTGGAGGGGACCCCGTGGCGTGGGGTGCCTCTAGCATCTGCCGGAGTCATAGTCACGTAGGATACCATCACAGCAGAGCAGCCAGGCATCAAGTCATGCCAACTCACTCGAGCTCTTTTCCGTTTGCTAGGAATGGCACGCGGAGTGCCCGTATGGTACGGCACGGTGCAGGGCGTCCACGGTTACCTTGTATAGTCCCGTCTCGTTCACAAGCACCTTGGGAGCGCAAGACGTTTGCCAAAGAGCCCATATTCGGGGAAGGCTTCTTCCACAGAGCGGGTTCGCGGGAGCTCTGAAAGAGCACAGCAGTTTTTGCTAGAACGTGCCCATCCCTGCAACAATTCTAAGTTATACAAGCATGCTCTAAAACTGCCGGGGTCGATGCGCCTTGATTTCTTTCTTTCTTTCTCTCTTTTTCCTCACGGGAGCACCACAGGGTCCCGCCCTGGTAAGCGAGTACACCGGATGCACCAACCAATATGGTATCTCAACCTCACAACTTTAGACTCCACGAGGCGGACCGGGCGTTAATTTGGGAGCTCCCGCTTCTCTGGGCGGAATTCGTGTGGTGTATATTACCAAATGGTTTGCGACATGCTTAACCGGGTAGGCCTGAGCAATACGGAAGGCGATGCCGGATCAACCGTGGCACCGCAGCAGACAGGGTCATATGAAGCTTTACTTACCCGCACCCAGGTACCGCCATCGACTGCACTGTGGAGCCAATTGAGTGCTTATGTAGCCAAGACTTGATGCCACTACCGACATCGTAACACTGGCTTTTTCAAGTGACCGAGCATTTTCCGTGTGGCCCTACAAGCGCAAAAGTTGGTTATCTCGCCTAGCCGGAACCCTGGAGTCATCAGACCTAGTAGATTCAGCGAGTGACATCTTGTGACCTCAGCTGTGATGTTTTCATAAATCCTCCCAACTCTAGGGTTCCGATAGTCGAAAAAGAGGGCGTTTGGGGAAGGGGAGTAAGGACGCACCGAGAAGGGTATTATCACAGTGGTGGTCCAAGTAGACCGTCCGAGCTTTTCAAGGCTTCCCCGGCTCTCGAAGTTCCGGGAGGAACAATTCGCCGTTTGTACTAGTACTCGAGTACAGTAACAATACAAAAGTATTTTCCAAGGATCTTTTTTATCCATTCTTATCACTTGCACTTCCGACGCTGTTCCGTCGGCGGAACATCATCCCACGGGGGGGGGGGATATCATATAACACCAAAATTGGAACATCCTAGTTTGATGGGGGGCACTGTGTTGCTGAGTGGGCTGGCTGCTCGACTGGGAAAATCTCTCGTCTAGTCGGGTATGATACCATACTAGATGTTAGACAAGGAGTGTGATTAAGCCAGCATAGAACGCTATGTTAGCGGGTAAGACCGGAATTGAGAGTGAAAAGCATACTGATATTTTCAGACTGCGAGATTCGCATGTCCTTGGTTTAGTATGGCGCCAGGATTGCTTAGAGCTACCCTCTCTGGTCAAATACTGTGATACTACCGTATAAACTCGAGTTGTTCATTATCTCCAGACAGACCTCTAGTCTCAGTCAATCGTGGCATCAGCCCAAGATTGGTCTAGTTTGGCAGGTTAATTGAATTGCGAATGCCAGTTAATGGGATTTGAGAACACTGCGGGTAATCCTGCTTAAGGGGTTTTGTTTCAGAACGCGGATATTGGGGGGCCCGGCAGAGATAGTGGATGACTCGAGTTAATTATGGTACCGGTACTGTACTCGGAGATAGTTTCTGAAAATAGTAACAATGCAATGTCTTATGTTGTGCTTAATAAGCTCATGTCATGTCATACAGACTAGAATGTAGGACTCCAGTCTTCGAGACTAACTCGCAACACAAGCACCCCAACCGCGCAGCAACATGAGATGCTGTGATACAAAATCAGAACCCTGGGGTCAAAGTCCAAGATATACTCTCACCCATTAAGTTCTATAACTTGGCGCCCGAAATTTTGACGCAAATACCGGCACTGCGCTTGTCAAGGTTCAGAGAGATCGTACTGGTGCTAGGAGGCCCATTTAAACAAGCACCCAGTGTGCTTCTCTAGTTCAACCGCGAAATAATCACACAGACCGTTTCTTCACATTTGTGCATGAGGATTGATTGATTTTAGGGGATCTTGATGGAGTATTGGAAACACTCATGCGCTCGACTGAATCAGATTAATGGTTAAAGAACACTAATAATAATATTGACCAATCCACTCCTGTCAACTCTCTAGTACTAGCTAGTGCCGGCATATTATCCCTCGATTGGAATCCTAACGACAGTGAAGGGTAGCACCGGTAGCGCTGGGCCCTGAATAGCATCAAATTGAAAATTGACCACCAGAAAATCATCCCCGTCAAAAGCCGCTGTCGACGGCTTTTCAAGCAACTCGCTAGTTATACTCCTCACCTGGGTTCCAGAGAGGTACCCCGGGTGCATCTCGATAACCCGGACGGATTGGCCAACCTCTGGAAGGGCGTTAACGGCGTACAAAATGTCATGGCGGATGAGCAGGCCATCCGGTGCTCCAATCTACGACCCATCCAAAATTAGCCAAACTGCTTATATAAAAGCCTAAAAGGATAAAACCTACCAACCCTCCCGCAATATCGACCTTGTCAACCTTCCTCGAAGAAATAACAACCCTCCATATCTCCCCGGCAAAAATATCAGCGACGAGCAAATGCTTCTGATCTTCGGTAACCACAATCCCATTCGCACCGGGCCCCAAGGCCCCCGTCAGATCTATCCACTTCTCCAACGGCAGATCCACCGTCGGACTGTCCACCTCACTAGCCTTGATCCTGAACAGCGTGGGCTGGACGGTATCGGTAACGTAGACGTTCCCCGCTTCGTCGATAGCCAAATCGTTCAAAAGTGTTTGGTTCTGACCAGAGAAACCATTGCTAAACCGATGCAACAGTTTCTTCGTATGTAAGTCAAAGACGAAGAGGGTGCCGGAACCGCCACCGGCGATGTACAGCCGGTCCTTGCAGTCGATTTTCATACCCGCGGCGCCTGTGAGATTGTATGCTGAACCGGTTAGGAAGGGGACGAGGTGTTCCTCGTGGACGCTGCCGCGGTAGATGTCCCCATTTATAACGCTGCCGACATAGAAGTATGGCGAATTGAGCTGGCGGGCGATGCCTTCTGGGAAGGTTCTGTTGCCAGGGACGATGTATACGGATATTTCATCATCGTTATAGGGGTCTGGAACCGGGACCGCAGTGGCGAATGAGAGAATGGAGAGGGCTAGAAGGAAGTAGGAATTGAAAAGCTGTAGAATCATTTTATCAGATCTTCGGGTGTTCCCGCAGAGCGTGTCTGGATGACCGACCGGAATTCTCACCCTTCGAAGGAAGCATCCCACTTTATATACCCCTTCAGCTCCTCCCTCCCTCCAAATCTCACCCACGTGTACTGTACTCGTACTCGGATGTCAGGACAAGCCAATGGACGTTGCTGGAATGACCAAGTTGCCGTTGATACCCCCCCCGGGGGCAAAAGGGATTCGCGGAGCATCTATGACACCGAATATCTTCTGTCCCAAATGAGGCGGGTTTCGTTGCATGGATCGCTACCGCCTGGCGCAACCGGTAATCATAAAGGGTTCCCGAACCAATATTAATTAACACCCAAGTAACTATGATATGCAATTCGCCTTATCATAAAAAAATAGCCTTCTCTCCACCCTGCACCCCACAACATCATCCAACGAAAAAAAAAACCCCCCACCTCCTATCGCCCTCCCAAAGATCCCCACGAACCCCCCCCCCAAAAAAAAAAAAATTTGAACCACGAACGAATGATTCCTCCCAATAACAATAACAATAACAATAAACAGGAGATAACGCAGCACGGTATGGTACTGTACCCGTACAGTACTCGTACCAGTAGTCGGGCCTTGCAACTCAATTCCCGTCGATACGACATGGTTACACCGCACTATCGTACCAAGCACAGCCCGAACAGTTCCACCAACCGCGAGTCTTCCGACCAGACCGTAGTCGGCACAACCCAAGAGCCGTACGGGGCACTACTTGCAGCCTACATCCTGAGTCAGATTTTTTTTTTTTTTCCCCGTTTTAAGTGCTCCAGGAATGATCTGCATTCCCCCTCGCATTTTAAATTTACAGTACCTAGCTACCCGTATAGCGTATAAGTACTGTGCGAGTACTGCGTATGCACGGGCAACGATAGCTCCAAGTCGGGAAAGGGAACCACGAAGGAGAACTGGTAATGCGTTGTTGGATTATGTTTAATATTCATATTATCATAATCAAGGGTTTGTCATCTTGGGATTGTGACGGAACATCCCGCGAGGTGGTGATTTGTTGACATGGATTTCATCACCGACAAAGGGGAGGAAGGGGGGGGCGTATGAATCATAGAATAAAGTATTGTGGCAGTTCTCCCATCATAATTGATCACTCGAGGGGGTTTTAGATTGGATGAAATCGCCGGCTGGGGGGAGTATCATACTGTATCATAGGTATCATACAACCACTCAAAACAGTACCGCACAGTATAGCCAACAGGACATCGCGCTGCGGCATATGGTGCGGTTATACCCGCGTAAGGGTTCCTCCTTCCAGAACGGGACGAAAGCTCTACAAGTACACTTACAGCGCAGCACCAGTGGGCGGGCAAAACCAATCCATCTCCACAATACCTGTTATCATACGCCCTCGCACATTATCCGAGCAAAGAAGTATCATAATCACTTTTGTCATGCTAACGGCACATGTGCAAAGTCGTGGGTAGTAAGTATGATAGATAGAGTGCGAGAACAGCACTTCCTTTTCTAATGATGGGTGGCGGGCCCTGCACCCCTTCGCCCGGGCTGGGTTCGCGATGGCCTCTGCGATTCTCCACTCGTCCGGAACGGAGGATGATCTCTCGTGGGCGGGTACCTGCACTAGCTCAATCTCATAGTAATCAGCTCTCTTGGGTTCCTCTCTTTCCCTTACAGTACCAAGTATAGTAGGACAACTTCCCTTCCGCCCTCTACCGGACCGAGCACGAGCTCAGCCGTACCATACCGTACAGTACTAGTAAACACCGACCATTTCACCCAAGTGCCGTGACGTGCACTACCGTACACTATCGAGCGAGGAGCATAGCATATTCGAAAACGCATGTGGGGATTTATGATACCATTGTAGATACCAGTTGTCGTGGCAGATATGCATATAAAGGGTGCCCAAGCAAATATATAAAGCCGGCTCTACAAGATATGAGCAACCTACGATCTATATGATTAGAAGGCTACGGCAACCATGATACAAAGCGATCAACGATAATGAGGATACGGGCGCCGTATGAAGCTCCCGGCGGGCTCGATTCTAGTGAGTATCCTAATGCGGGAGAAGATGTTCCGGGGCGTTGTCTTAGATATTGCCCTATGCCGGAAAGGGGGATTCCAACGTCCTAGCATATCCATTTCCCTTATATCCGAGCACTGCGCAATCCTTACGGCCGGCGTGGTACTATGATAAGTGGGAAATCATAATATCATGGCTTCGCCAACCCCTCCACCTCCCCGCCCTTATCCGGTCAGCATACCCAATGACTTGCGTGCGTGAATCGAGCCCGATCTCAGCCTACGATAAAAAGCTACGATATTATACCGCTCAATTTGAAGGGGGGGGGGGTTTGTTTGTTTGTTTGTATGTTGTTTGTTTCGATTCTTTCATTGCTGGCTGGCTGAGTATAATAATGTGTGTGACCGGGAGCTTTGAAGGAAGAATTGAGGTCTTCTCTTTTTGCATTGATGGCCTCGTCCCCTAGGATACTGGATCCAATATGGTACCGTACCGTATCTGCTCCTATAACCCACTAATTCCGTCAGGCCCCCTAATCTCCGCCGATCCCTGCATTAGCCCTTGATAAGTTTAGTTTGACGGGTGAAACAGAGTCGCGAGTACCAAGATACCGGTAATTTAGTGAGATCCAACACAGTCAGCACACTCGGACTCTGCTGTATGACCCTTCTTAGGGATTTTTGTATCTAAGCACGGAGATTAGAAGAAAGCTGGCGGAGATAGTGGATGATGAGTATTGTAAATAAGGTACAAGCACCTGGGATTACGCTTTCGCATAGTTAATTTAGGTTAACCCCGCATAATAATCCCCGCCTTGTATTGTACAGGTACGAGAACATGTTCCTGGGTGCTTGTACCGGTACATGTACCGAAATAGCTAGGATATCTCGATATCTTAGGGTAGCTTGTGGACCTTGTGGAGCTTAATTCATTTGACCAGGTTTAGAGTAGGTTCACTCTACATCTTTAGATGGTAAGCGCGCTTGGGTGGCTTTCCTGGATTTGGTACTTGTACAGTACCGGTACAGTACTCCCATCTTGTTTTTTCTACAGCACAAAGTACAGTACAGTACAGTACCGCTATCGTAGTTGTCTGCAATGTCTTAAGGAAACTTTTTTTTTTCGGCATAGTTCGGTGATGTGGGTCAAAATTCCCAGAATGGTCCATGAACCAGTCATCCACGTCGAGCCACCTCAGACTAGACCGGGTCGGACGTCGGGTATCATAAGCAGAGAGCTTCATGGTCTCTTGCATCCCACCTGTAAAAGGGGGACCAGATATTACCGAAATTCAGCCCATCTATCCCTATCAACTCCAACCAAACTTGATTCTACAATCTACCCTTCCCCTCCTCCCCTTCCCCCATACACCCAGCCAACCACTTTGCCTCCTCAGCCATCGCCTCTTCAGACCTAGGCTTCCTCTCGGCGTCCGGATGCACGGTCGGGAACTTCGGCCTTGCACTGTTATTCATGACAGCGGAATGCTGCGCTTCTAGGTAATTGCGTCCCAAGTCTCCGTCTTCAGATTCCAGCATGGCGTATATTTGGTCTTCCTGCGGGAGGTCTTGGAAGTGTCGGGGGATTATGTGGGTGTGGACGTGTGGGACTCTAAGTAAAACTTAGTAGGGGGGGTGAGGAAGAGAAGGGGTGGGTGACCTACGATTGACCAGCCGCAACACCATCTTGCATTGCAATGTTCAGAGAATCAGCTTTGTAAATCTTCTCGATCACCTTACTGACCTTTTGGACGGTTAGGAAGAGGTCTGTGACCTAGCCGGTCCCCCCAGAATCACCATTATTAGCAACTTACTAGCCGAGCAAATCCCACGAAGAGTATACCTCATCGGTTGAGAGATCTTTAAGCCTTGGAACAACCCTATTCGAGCAGACGAGAACGTGACCGGGCAGTAAGGGTTTGAGATTAACGAGGGCGAAGGAATGTGCGGTGCTGTAAAAAACCTACCCAAGCACCCTAGTCAGCTTCGGATTCGCTCTCTCGACAAGATAGCCTTCGGCCAGTACCTGAGACGTGACCAGGAAAGAGCCAAAGTGCACGGGCCTCTTAAGGACCTGTGTACTCGCAGCCATGATTGCGCGCTTGGTAAACAGGATGAATGAGTGAACGCTTGCGTGAAATGAGCGGATTAGAAACTAATGGAATGAACAAAGGGAAGGTAGACTGGAGGTAGGGCAACTGGTATCACGGAGCCGTCGGGGAATTAGAAGGTCTGGTGGTGGAGGGGTATCGTGGAGTTGAGGAGGAAGAAGAAGTGAGCTTAGGAGAGGAATGAGGAGGTGCTTTGCGTTTTGCTGAAATAGATTGACGTATGATAATTAATGGGGTATCTCGTGCCAAGAAAGCTTATCGGGTGAACCTCTTTAATTACCACCAATATTCAACTATCCAATTCTACAACCATCGTTTACTTGATGGTGTGCCATTTCCTAGTGACAATATCCCAGTGACGGGATTGCTAGCACCCGCTGATTGAGGCCCTGGATCACAATCTCATGGCCACCCGTGCTCGGATAAGGTAAAGTTGTACTCGTACTGGTACAATCTATTACCGATCGTTCCCAACACCACCACGGGCGCGGTATCATGGGCTTGCAATGGTACGAGCACAGCAGCGCATCTCTCCCACATCCATGTTCTCCAAGGGAAAGTAAAGAAAGTAAAGAATGTCAAAAGGAGACTGGAAACCCCCATAGCGCCAAGAGACAGCAGTTAGAACCAGCCTAACCACCAAGCCCAAAAGAAAGACATGTGTGACACCGACCCGAAGCGAGTCCATCCCTCCCCCATATACCATATACATCTCCTTCTCCCCACTAACCTCCCTATACAACCCCAAACTCCTCATCCTCCCCCCCCTGGGCCAACAATCCCATACCTAACTGGGTCCCTATTCTTCAAAAACGTCTGCACCCTTTCCTCCTTCGACCCCAAAACAGCAACCTCCCTCTTCCTTCTCGCCCACTCACGACTAATCTCCGCATGCCTAATCTCCCTCTGCTCCAGAAAATTGTGCCCATTAGCATTCGCCCGCGAGATATTCATCAGTGCGCCACCAGACGCTAGTATGAACACCACCGTAACGAACGTTCCGTTGGAGGTGTATAACGGGCCTTGATGCTCTCCTCCCCCACCGGTCCCGGGATGCGCCCGACGCTGGCGCCAGCGTTCCCAGTCCTCCCATGTTGCGTTCTGGGCAGGGTCGTTAGGGCCGCCTTTCCCGTAGTGCTGCCTGGCGAAGCTGCCGTGGCCTTCCCGCTCTGTCCACCACCTTCGCTGGCTGGCATTGGTGCTGGTGGTCTCCCATACCGAGGTAAGATTCCACCCGGCGCCACTGTAGTCGTAGTTTGCTCGCTTAACTGGGTCGGAGAGGATGGCGTTTGCAGCGACGATCAAGCGGAAGCGTTCTAGCCGGATGGGCTCCGATATGTCTGGGCCTTCGCCGGGGCGATGCCGAAAGTGGTCTGGGTGGTAGAGTTTGACAAGTTCGTAGAAGCGAGCTTTTGAGTATGGGGCACCCTGCTTGCAGTTGAAGATTTGGTAAGGGGTTGGGGAGGCATTGGGTGGCCAGTCGTACTTGCTGTTGTTGGTGGAGTTTACAGTTGCGTAGCTACGGACTCCAGGTTCTGGAAAGGCAAGGAAGAGGAATGAGCTGATCGCAGTACCCACCGGGGACAGTTTATTGACTGAGCGTTTGGCTGAGCGTCTGCTCGCAAGCATTGTTTCAGGCTCATACGAGGTAGAAAGTGAACTGAGCGAGGGGTGAAGGGGAACCGGCGAAGGCCGAGGAGTTGAGGTCCCTCCGCAAACACTTCCGAGAGAGTGACATCTATCATCACGTGATTTGGAAAGCGGGAGCGATGCTCACCTGCCCTAGAGTATCTCCCGTCGCGGCTAATAACTCACCGGGAGCTTACGCTTAGCACTCGAGCATCAGCTATATCACATCGGTCCACAAAAAAACTCCCATCATTAAAATACAGATGTTATATGTTATATACCTGCCATTTCCCTTTTGGCAGCGTTAAGGTAACAGCGCCTGGATCACTTGAGACCCCACCAGAGGCTTTTGTAACATTGGTCACGAAACGGGGTAAGAAGAAATTTTTGAGCCTCGAACCCAAGCTTAATCCTCTGCCCTCTGTAGATCCCACTAATCTTGCTCGGCCTTCTCTCCATATCCGTTCACTGAGTGTGTCCCGATAACCTCCAAAGGTGCCTGCTGTAATCTCATCTTCATCTCAAGCCACCTGAAGAAGCCCGGACTCCGACAAAACTTGCGATAAAAAGCCTCTGCGGCCCTGTGACGGTGGTACCCGGTCTTGCCTTTGAATTGCACCGAGCATCCGTGCTTTGAGAGGCTGGCGAGGAAGTCGTCCTCCGAGAAGCCGGCTATGTCTATTATATCCGAGTCTGACGATGTCGAAGCAAGGATCGCCAAGTATCTGTTCAAAGGTGCCAGAAACATTGCTGCCAAGTGGGCGAAATGCCGCCTGATAAATTTTCCGCATTCAAGAGCTGTAAGATGCAAGCATCAGATGAAATATCTCATACCAAAAACCCAAAGGCCAGCATGATTGGGATGCTCACGAGTTGTCCTGGGGTCTTTGAGCTGATTCTCAAGCATTCTCAGGAATTCATGATCTTTTTCTATGAATGCTTTGGCATCATTGGCGATCATATTATTTGGGTGATCACGTTCAGTGGTAGAAGAGTAGAAGTGTAGGTGGTGTTTCCGCCTAGGGGAGGTGTTAGCCGGGAATCATATGACCCAATTGAGGGATCCCCACTTGACTTCCGGGCCTGCCAGATAGACTACATATGGGGTTTTGTTTTCTTTCCCGTTGGATAACAACCTCTTAAGAAAGAATGGGTTTGTAATGCCTAGAGGAGAAACCATTAGCTCTAGCCCAGGATATCCAGGGGTCCGATATTTCATGCCTATCAAGTAGTGGCGAAGGGGAATCTGTTGCAACCTGATAAGCAATGCCCGTTACCCTGGGAGGAAACAACTCACCCCCTCATGTGCATTCAAGAAAAAGTCTAGAACGAGTCAGCGGTCATGAATCCTAAAAGGGCCGGTAACAGGAGAATATCCCAGACACAAGCATACCTGATTGCATAGTAAGATAAGGCCTACAATCCCCCCCAAATGGTATCTGTTCACATATCAGCTTTGGGTGCCCATATGGCAATTGGCAATTAAACTACAAACAAAAACTTACAGGACGAATAAGGTCAACCGCGGCGGAGACAAATTCACTACACGTTGTTGGATCGTCCGCCAAAACTACCATGGGATCGGATAATAATACCTATTATCCATGAAACCGTTAGTGTTAATTCATGCCACCTCAAAGAAGGCACAACTGACTCTCTCGAAAATGATGTACAACTCAGAAACGGAATTGAGTAAATTTGCAAGTCTAGTCCATGAGCCTATAGGCTCGGAAGTATGTATTTCTTTGTACTCGACCCTGATATCGGTCCTCGAGGGGGATGCAGTCATGAGTCCTTGTAATGGAAATGCGGGATGGGGAGGGCTAGCAATTGACATTTATTTAGTAAAGGCTCACAAGACTTGATAATGTTCCAGAATCCAGAAGATCGGCAACATCACTCACGGCATTGAGAACTCCGGCAACAGGTGACGCATGATCGAGTCTGCCTAATTCCCGGAGAAATCTCGCCATGACATGAATCACATTGCGATAGGGTGGAAGGATATACATATGAACGTCTAACAGGGATCCCAAGAAAGGTAATTCCTGCAATCCAACCTCAGGCGGTTCCCAAGCTGCAATATTCGAGCATGCGGACTCAATGAGAGTCGGGCTAACTTCAAAGTCCAGTAATGATATAGTTTTAATCAAGTACGCAAACAATGGGGCATAGTCATGTTGAGAAACTAGCACAAGGGATTTTTGACGGTAATTTCTCTTGACAGTGGTGTCTCGCTGCTGGCGGAAAAGGCAGAAGCCGTACCAGTAGGCAGGATCATCGTTTGTAGTTTGGCACAATACATCGGGGGACGAATGACGGAACCTGAAATGGAAGGCTGAGTCCTCGGTCGTATCAGAATTCGTTCGCTCGGGAAAGCTATAGTGCCATTCAGTGATGGGCACTACCACGAATTTATTGAATGTTCCAACCTGCTAAAGCATATGGTTTGTAGGTCTGCCGGCGAAAAGTTTGTCGACGGGAACATGTATTCCACTTCGACCCCTGGAAAACAAAACAAAACAATCAATCATTAGAATTCCGCAAGCCCATAGAAGAAGTGATTGGCAAACACACCTATATCGACGTTAAAATCGCAAACAACACTGCGGCCATCCGTTAGTCCAGATCTTATCCTGCTTCTCGTTTAAACTTTACAAGTACAGAAGAAATTGAACAGACGGGGCTTATAGATTTAAACTCACAATGCGATCATCCATTTCCTGAGAGCGTCAAGTTTAAAGGGATACTCCTTTAACTCATTTGCGTATAAGGCTGCGTTATACGACGAGATGTCGCCGCTGACAAGAGATCCATTTTCACCAGCCATTTCATCTCGATGCCTCGATGGCAGTTTCGAAGCAGACGATCCGATGCTCGTTTTGTCTGCAGCCAGGTCAACTTGCCTATTTCCGTCAGAATTGGCCTTCTGGAGGGGCAGTCGTGGTGGGTAGCTCTGGTTGGGGGGCGAGCTCCTCTGGTTGTCTGAATTACGCGCCACAGACAACGCACAGTTTCCGCCACACTTCTGACGCTGCACCGAAACGACTTGGGGGGCCTATCATATACAGTAATAGGTGTGGCGTCCTACCGTTCCGAAGCTGGTGGTATGTTCCATGGCCAGCCTGATTGGTCTGTTGAACTGATGCTGGTAATGGCCTGCATTGAGTTGCCTTGCCAGCCAATAGCCTGGATCAGAAAAAGACCCCATTCTACTCGTACCGGTATGCAGTATGCAGCTGGTTTCCGCTTTTCAGTTATTGCAGTCAATGTGGGGGCCAATTCGGATTGAGGTATCATAAATATAGGCCAAGGCTTTTACTGTATGCTTGCACAATCACTCGCACCTCCCATGAGAGAACCAGGGTGAAAGCACCGCAGGACAGGTCAAGGAGGAATTCGTGAAACGTAATTTAGATACAAAAAAAATATCGGTGTAAAAAGAAGAGGGAAGGATTGGGGAGGTGAAGAATATCCAACGACAAATGGCGCTGGGTTCAAATAAGCGGATGGCGGTCATCACAGCTTAGATGTGTGGGTAAGGGGGTACTGGGACTCTATGATAGCCTTTTCACCAGTAGGGAACAAGGCCAATGACCCTTCTTGGTTCTTTCTCCAACCTCGATTGGTATCAACAAAACAGGGGACAAGTCAATCTATTCCCAGCAGGAAATCACATCACTCCGGGTTGATTCAAAATTATTTATTTACGAACCGGGATAAAAAATTGGAAAAAGTTTGGAACAAATAGAAAAAAGAAAAACACCTCCTATGTCTCCGTACTAAACCTTAGAGGTACATACGACCATAGAAGACACTTACTTACGCAGGCGCCGCCCACCCATACCTACCCCCCCCCCCTTTTTTTTTTAAAAAAAAAGAGTTTGCGCACAAGAAAGCCCGATGACATTTCGAATCTCCCAAATTTATGAACCCTTTTTTTTATTTGTTCGTAAAGAAAAACATCATTTAACACCAACCTCTCTACCAACCACTGGTGGCCCCAGGGACCTCAGTTGCGACAGTGTCCGCAGCCCACTCTGCTGGTGCCTCAGCATCCCAGCTGTTTCCACCGCCAGTAGCTTCAGGAGGGACAAAGGTTCCACCGGTATTGGGGGCATCCCAATCTCCAGCACCAGCACTAGCAGCGAACCCACCTTCAACAACCTCCTCAGCACCGGGGACCTTGTCGGCCTCCTCAACAGCCTTCTGTTCCTCGGCCTCAGGGTCGCGGTAGAAGTAGAGATCGACCATGACGTCCCATTCAGCATCCCTCGATGGGATGATCCCACGAAGACGGCGGACCTCACGAGCAAGCATCCACCAGATAAGACCAATAGCGTGACGACCCTTGTTGTTGGTGGGGATAACAACGTCCACAAACTCGGTAGGGGAGTCGGTATCGCACAGAGCGATAACAGGGATGTTAACATACGAAGCCTCTTTGATAGCCTGAGCGTCGGTCCGGGGGTCGGTAACGATAATGAGGCGAGGCTCCTTGAATGAACGGGTGATGTAGTTCGTGAAGTTACCGGGGGTAAAACGACCTGCAATAGCAGTTGCGCCGGTGTGAGTGGCGAACTTCAAGACGGCACGCTGACCGAAAGAGCGGGCGGACACAGCACAGACATCGGCTGGGTTGTCAATAGTAGCGATAATACGAGCAGCAAGAACAATCTTCTCCCTACCTTCGATGTTAGAAAAATGTAGCCAAGTTTAGATAGCGACAAGGAGGCCGATCCCAGAGAGCAAAGATTAAGGTTTTGCAATTGCACTCACCAGGTCTTTCCGATGTTGATAATGTTTACACCATCAGGTCTCGTCTTCCAGACGTAGGGGTCCATGTGAACCTGTCCGGGTTCCAATTAGTACAGGTACTCTAAAGCCGTAGAAACCGCGAGTCCACAAGGACCGACCTGCAAGTTTTTTGCTCCTATATGAGCCTGAGCAGCCAGGAGCATCTCTATGTCCTGGGTTGTCGCATCAAAAAGGTTTGTAGTAGTAGGAGCCATATTGTTCAGGTTTTTCGATAGTGGGACCTTGGTTCGTGATCCCTCGCGGTTGGTAGGGAGAGGGGTGTTAATCGATGGCTATCCTTGGGTTGGTCTGGTGGAGTTGGCTGTCAAACCACACGAGAGAGTGGAACTGTGGGCCAGAAATTCCCCGGTGACTGTTTTTTTTATGGTGGGGCATTTGGTGTGCGGAAGCTAGTCACAAAGAGGAAGCCTACTAGCCCTTATCTGGATTTGTGTCTTGGCAATTCTTAAGTTATTAACCCCCTAGGTCTCAGTTGTCATTGGTTCCATCGTACAAGTACTGGAGTAGACTATTCGAGTATCTTCAACGAGGGAAGATAAAGTACATCAATTTGCTAGGTCAGCATTCTATAAGCGAACCTACCCCTTTAATAGGTGGTATCATACGCGAATTAAGCAGGGTGATCAATTGAAAAGAAGAGAAAGGTGAAAAGGAAATCAATTAAATTGAATTGCTCACCCCATTCCCATAACTCCTTATTCTATCCGCCGATTTGTTGAAAAAGTCTATCTTGGGGCTGTTGGCGACCGACCAACCCAGAAGCAAAGGAAAGAGCCGCACCTATATCATACCTCCACCGCGGTTACCAACGCAAAACTCTACTCGTGCCATGGTTGTGATTAGTCGCCACAACCATGGGCACCCTTCCTGAGTGCCTACCAGCTCAACGTAAATTATGATAATATTAACAGTGCCAAGGTTCCCGCCACTTTGAAAGGCGCTAGGCAACTTGCAAAGATTAATGGCACTCTGTAGGAGCACCGGACAGCTTAACATGATGGACAGCTTAATGTGACTTTTATTGAACTCTAGTAGAAACATTTTTGATTGAATGTCCAACCTCATAAAATAAAAGTTTCTGAATTGTTTGTTTCTTATTCCTGTCTTTTACAGCCTTCCACATTTGCTTGGAAATCTCTTTTCATTGTTTTTTAAACTTATTTTCAGCAGCTTTAGTCATAATATCAAGTGAGTGCTGAGTCTCCTGAACTTCCTTTTCAATACTATCCTGCTTTTTTTGGCATACCATTATCCAAGCCTCCTCAGTGTACATAGCATTGCCTTTTTGAAGTGACCTCTGGCTTTGTTTCCTCCGAGTTGCATGAGTGGGTTCTGTAGCTTTGGTGTTTATAAGGTCCTCTGATACTTGTGCACCATAATGTGCCTGTGCAAGGCTACCCTTTTATGAATATTCGAGCACTCTTATCAGCTGAGGGGGAGAGTATACCAATGTCTGGCAAGACTAAATCTACTTTTAGCTTTAGAGTTTGCACGATTTTGAGAGTTTTGGGCCTGGGCATACTTTTGGACTACAGGGGTAGAGTGATTGGCTAAGAAGGTGTTGCTCAATTGTGCTCAACTAGTTTTTTAAGTGTAATACTAGGATTGAATGGAATCAATCCTGTCTTCTTAAATGTGGATAGAATAGTCGTAGGTTTGAATGTAAGAGAATGAATTGAATTAACAGCATTTAAAAATTCAATTTTATTAAACTTGGAACATTATGTTCATATAGCTGAGTCTACTGCCTGAGCATGATAATGCTTATATTGCTAGAATACAATAATATTCAAAGGTTGAAGTAGATGGTACAGTGAGGAGGGATGCAAAAAAGCACAATTTTGTAATTACTACAGAATTGTATAAACTCACTAGTGTAGTGTGAATTGTGTCTATCAAGAAGCAGGACAGCAGGAATAATTTTCAAAATGCTTAAGCCAATCCATAGTTCATACTTTATTTGAATAGCCTGTTTCAGTAACTCCAACCAAGAAATTTCTTAGAAAATCTGTTTAAAGATAATAATCTTCTATGCAGAGCGCTCCTGGGATAATCATTAATGACTGGACTTAGCGGTTCCTTGCCCGACATTCAGAATACAATATTTGAAAACAGAAGACATTAGATATCAATCATAAGCTAGCCCACAATAGTGATAACCTTAGTGACTGGTTTTGGTGATATCAGAAGATGAGCGAGGAGAAGGAAAATCTGGTTGCTGATACTTATAATTTTGATAAAACAGGATTTCAGATTGGCATTGGGAAGGACCAATGAGTTGTAATGTGGGAGACGACTCATTCAATGTATATCCTAAGTTCACGTAATCGAGAACTTGTTACTGTTATTGAAACAATTAGCAGTTATGGCACTGTACTTTCTCTGATGTTAACTTTGGGAACAGAGACTTCAGGTTCCTGGTTGCTGGGTTGGAGGTTGCTGGATCAGAAGTTACTGGATTAGATGTCACTGAGTTGGAAGTCACTGAAACTGGATTTGAATATATGAGGATTGAATTTGTGTATCTAGCAATAAGGTGATATCGAGGTGGAATTCCGATACTGTCTAGGCTATTCAAGTACTGACATAAATTAAGCTCTTGGTCCTCTGTCAGTTTTCAGTTTGGTGTCACTTGCTATTAGCTGAATTTGCAGCATTTCCACTGTGTACAAAGATGCTCTTTGGGAACCTGGAACCTGGACCCCATGTAATGCCTACCACATTGGGATTTTCCTCTCCATTGAGCTTTTCAATTGCTTGTTGTATCCAGACTTCAATTTCAGAGTAACTTTTCCCCAGACATGGTGTGATGGTGTAGGTAAATTATGTGATCCTTGAATGTCTACAACTACTATGTGTGGAGAAGGGTCACGTTGAGTTGTCCATCAAGTTGAGCTGTCTGGCACTCCTACGGAGTGCAGTCAATCTTTGCAAGTCGCCTAGCGTCTTTCAAAGTGGCGGGAACCTTGGCACGGTTATCATAACATTCTAGCTCAACATCACTTCGTGGATCAATGTTATTTTGTGGCTCAACATTGGTTTGTGGCACGTAACTTTGCAGCGCCCTTCCCCCCGCCCCAGTATCCACCCCGGAAATCCAATCCTTTGCCGGTCACTTCCTGCACCCCGTATTCGAGACTATCAAAGTCTTTCGAGAGGTCACGGTTCATCCACGCAACAGGAGTCCTGTCAATGAGGGGATACGCCATGTACTACTGGTTCAGATATCCCCTGTCCCCCATCCCGTTCAGAAAATCCACCATGACGAAGTCGTGGGATGAGTTATACTCTCAGGTTCCAACTATCATCTCCGAAAAACTGTCATCGTTCTGGACCGGACTCCAGAACTTCTCCGACGAATCGCCTGTAACGGCCAGATCAGCATCGCCTGTGATAACACCTGATTCGTGAAAAATGAGTGCGGTCTCTCCAACCACAACAAATTTTCTGATGCGCTCCGCTCCCACCATACTCCAAACTACTCACGCCGTCTCCCATAGCGGCCAATTGCATTGGGGGGGGGAAGAGTATTGAGGGGAAAATTCCCAGCTGGCGGAGAGATCACGTTCAGTAGGACTTTCTTTTGCAGTTCTGACAGTCAAAGAGCGGGGAAATAGAGATGTGGTGCCTTTTTGTCCATGTTCAGAACCCCTTCTTTTTGTGCGCTAGTGTGGGGGGATGGTGCTCATCTGTAGCGACTCCATGCGTGTTGTTCATGGGCTTCGTGAGCATCTCCGAAAAGCTCGCATTGGAAGTGGACGTGCAGGCCGAGAACGCTATACCATTGCGGATATTCGAGTCCTTCTCACTAATGATGATACTAGATGATTAGAATATTACTTTTTTGGTGTGGAACAAGCTGATGGCCTACAGGCACATTAAGACAAACCCTATCGCCCTCTTTTGTGAGTCCCGTGTTCTCAACCATCCAGACAGTCCATCCTTTCGGGGGTGCCAGGATAGACCGTAACATGGAATAGTAGGACACGGCGGACTGCACGGAACTAGAGTCTTATCCTGGGATTCTGTGTTTCCGACTAGTGTTAGGCATGAACCAGTTCGAGGCGGTCCTGGCTATACTCAAGCCAGCTTGTCTCATGGACACAATGGGCTCAGATGGCTTGAGGTCTCAAGCCTAGTCTTGGGAAATACGATTGCCTGGAAAGCTCAAACCTATAGTACAAGTAAGGTGGCCGGCAAAGTTATATTGTACTAAGTGACGTACATCGCGATAATGCTTAGTTGGAGACCAATATAACGTGAACAAGGAAGCAAAAGCGTGGAGGGCAACTGAGAAAAGAGAATAAGTTTGTTCCAACCTTACAAAATCTCATTCATCGTATGCTGCCCATCCGTCCACTCTCTTTTCTCCCCAAATCCACTATATCACAGGTTCCCGAGCTGTCCATCCCTGTCGATAACCTCCAGATTTTGTCGGATCCTGCTCACAAGCCTCACATCGTATGAGTATTGGTCTATTTTTACAAACACCTCCGAGTACGCCTGCCTTTACCATTAGGTTAGTTCATGGAAGAATGTGAGAGAACTGAAATGTTTGACATACCTTTCCAACCCTTCTTAGCATAAGGCCAACAAGCCATTATACGGCAATTGTGAGTTATTTCGATCCACTTCATCCGCTCTGTCTGCGGCGTTTAGCTTGTGTAAAGGTATCCGTTTCCTCCCACCCTCCAGCTTCCTTTAACAATTGCTTCACACGATGAGCAGCTCTTACCTGCTCCGTGTCTTGAAGTGATCTTGTCACAAATTTCCGAAGTTCTGCCAAACTAAAAATGATGCTATCGGTTGGTTCCACACCTACTGGAATATTGTCTCTGAAAATATCCATGAAGGTTATTTTGAACTCCTTTGGAACTTCGCTTTCAAGAGATGGTGCTGGTATGACTGTTGCTGAAATGGTCTCTCTAATATCAGCCTAATTTTCACATTCTTGATACAAATGTATGGTTACCTTTAAGTCACCAACTAAAGGCTTTTTTAGTTTGGCATGTGCATCAAGGTCCACCTACCTCCCCGCCAAATAGTTAAGGTCTGTCTCAGCTGTAATATCTTGTATCAGCACTTGCTCCTCTGTAAGCACTTCCTCTGTAAATGTTTCCTCCATGGGTGTTTTCTCCATAAGCGTTTCCTCCCTAAGTGTTTCATGCGTAAGTGTTTTCTCCGTAAGCATTTCAGCCCGGATACTGGCACATGGTCTAATCAGTGCTCCCAGTCGTCCAGCCCGATGAGGACAAGGACGAGTGCCGTCCGACAGCTGTCGAT